GGGGGGGGGTGTCCAGCTGCATAGGAGACTGGATGCCCACCGCCGCTCCCCCTCCCTTCTGTCCTTCCTTCCCTCCCATTAGAAGGGACTGCGACAATATGACCACATGAACACACATTGCACAGCGCAAAAAAAACGAAAGAAAAAATAAATAAATATGCACATGGAGGCGTTATGTAAGAAAACGATGTGACATTCAAACGAAGCGGCTGCGACAAGGGGCCCGGGGGAACATGTTCCATCTTTTTGTTTGAATATCCACGATATGTGTGTGGACACGGTGACAGCGTGCAACATGACGTCCACACACGGGAGAAAAAAAAAGACAAGGAAGGGTCTTACCTCCTCTTCCTCCACCACCACCACCACCGAGCCGGCGCCGTCGCCTCCTCCTCCTCCAGTCCGCCCAAGCGACGAGGAAGAGCGGCCAACCGCCACCGAGTCAACCGGAGCCCAGTGCGGTGCGTCCGGACACGCCAGCCACAATCCGCCGCTCCGATGCGCCGATCATGGAGAATCCAATTCAGGGGGGAAAGCTGCTCCAGTGTGTCTTTTGGGGGCTTCGGCGTGAATCTGTCTGCAGTCCTTGCCGTCACTTCACGTCACGTCACGTCATGTCACGTCGCGTAGCTCGTCTCTGGGCTTTCTCCACAGAGCTATGCGTGGCCGCGCCGCGCGTCCACGCGTGGGATGTAATCGGGAAGTGGCGAGTAGGGGGGGGGTGCAGCTCGTGTAGTGAGGAGGGAGGAGGAGGACGAGCACCCTCCTCCTAACACCAAAACAAATCATTACAGACGAACAAGTGACCGCAGACTGAGGTGGTTTAGATAGATAGATAGATAGATAGATAGATAGATAGATAGAGAGAGAGAGAGAGAGAGAGAGAGAGAGAGAGAGAGAGAGAGAGAGAGAGAGAGAGAGAGCGAGAGAGAGAGAGAGAGAGAGAGAGAGAGAGACGGAGACAGCTAGCCAGCTAGCTCGCTAGATAGATAGATTGAATAATTTAAAATAACATACATATGACATGATCTATGGTGCGGAGAGAAATGTCAAACCTCAAACATTGTCTGTGTAAATGCGAAATATTAAAAAAAATTATAATACATAAAAAATAAATACAAAATAAAAAAATAATTTTATACATACATACATATATATATATATATATATATATATATGTGTGTGTGTGTGTGTGTGTGTGTGTACATGCGGGAGCAGGTTGCACACGCTCCTGTAGCAAGGTCTAAAAACGTCCCACCTGTTTTTCACTGGATCACTTTTGAAGCCAGTGACATACAGTATTTACCAGCCAGACATGTTGAAAAGGAAATCCTCCCTCTTGCCCCACAAACGTTGGGAACCGAACCCTGTGTGTGTGGAGGGGGGGGGCTACAACAACCCCCCATCCCCCATCGATGTGTGACATGACAGCACACAAAGTCACAGAGGGGAAAGTATAGCTGGAGGCGTCAAAGCATGAGTGGAAAGTTTTGGAAAGGTCAGCCAGGAGGCCTGAAAACTGAGATGGGATCAAGGGGAAAAAAAATCTTTCAAAAAAACAAGAAAAAAGACAGAAGTAGGGCAAAAAAATTAACTCTCCATGCAGCACCATAATGACAACCATTTAAATTTTAATATTATTTCTACACCACTCTAACATTTTGCAGCTCGGAAAAAATGGACTTAATGAGTCCAATAAAATGTTTTGCACCAAAGTTAAATTAAAACTGTACCGACATGTATTTTGAAAACAAAAAAGATAAAAGACAATGAATTGCCCTGAAAAGTTAAATACAGTTGAATTTTACTAAAATGTAGTATAAATGCGCTGATCAGTCAGTGACATTTGAACATCCTTGTCATATGACCCAGCAACTGTGTCATACAACTAAAATAAAGTAAAAGTGTTCACTCTTGGGCAGGGTGGAGGAGGGTGTGGTTAGCCCAGCTTTCCTCACAGTTCTTAAGTTTGGGGTTCGAATCTCAGATCAGCATTTCCTCTGGAGAGTTTGTATGCTTGCATTCCTTCCACATTCCCAAAACATGCACGTTAGCGTGTTCACCAAAGACACTAAATTGACTATGTATCGACTTTGTGTGAGCGTGAATGGTTGTTTCTTGTTGCTCTTGGCAGACAAAGGAAATAAGCGTTCTACAAAAATGGAGGCATGGATATTCACTCTATGAAAATGCGCAACGGAGAGGTAAACTGGAAGGCAATTGCACAGTGACACTGTCATCCGTTATTGTTTGAAGACTTTAATAAGTGTATTATGTTAGCGTCTACTGTACTTGATAAAATAAATGTGTTATGCGTGTGTATGGCCTTGTGAAAGTAATTTCATTCGGTTTACAACTCAGATTGGACCGAGTGGCTCACATTGCCCATTCAGTGTTAAGCACCTTACAAATGCAGCACAGTTACTCTTATGAAGTGGAAAACAGCAGTGCTGGGCAAAGTATGGCAGGCAGCCCACTGATGATTTACATTAAGTGTCCTCTTATATTGGCTGCATTCATTTTGCATTTTTAAAATTGCATAAATAGTATGTATTCATTTTATTATTTATTAAAACAAGCGGCGCAGATAACGAATGGATGAATAAACTATTTGACATATTAAATTAATTGTTAGTTATAATTATATTCATGATAAGCAATGCAAAAAATGTGAACGGTTATTAACTCATCCACTGCTGGTATTTCAGTCCCTCATTTACACTACCACGTGAAAAAAAAAAAAGGAAACACATATAAAACGTACCTGAATGACCAGACGTTTGCTCCGCCCTTCCTGAGTGACCATTCAACTCACATCCGATAGTCAAGACAAGGTGGCCCCCGTGTGGTCAGAATATGAATTACACACAACACGTTTGGTTTAGTCACAGAATTTTACACCGCAACAAATGACACTATCCTAACATCTCCTTCGAAAACAATGTATAATACTCACGGTGATGTGGAGTTCAGTGGCACGACTGAAATTAATTTGATTTTAGAAATGTAACTGACCTGCAATTCTTCCGCCGAACGTTGGGTGGCAATACTACCAGCATAGGTATTGGATACAATAGGTACTCATTAAATAACGTGACTTACGGAATGTGGTTTGTTTTGGCGGGAAAGAGACGCTTTTGTAAACAAAGAAACGTCACAACAACGCGACACAGTTGTAAGAGCCTATGACGATTAATCTCAGCGACGGAAGTGGCACTCCCCAAAACAAACGAGTGACAACAATGGAGAACATCCGCTCGATGGTGTTCTTTCTGCTCGGCGTGTGGCTCTTTATCACCAGGAGAAGACAAGCTTTGTTCGAGCGGAGGCTTCAGGCTGCGCGGAGGAACACTGCAGAGAAAATGAGGAGAGTTTGGGAATTGTTGGAGGACGACTCGTTTCCGAGACGTAGACTGCGACGCCAGATGGTTAGATTGAGAACAGTTTGGGTTCAAAAGCTTGTCAATAAAAAAACAACTCATTTTGAGCAATCCGGCACGCTGTACTGGCTGCATCTTACGTCGCCCATTAAACGACAAACATGGCTGACTCCTGCAATAAGAGACTTGTAAATGGATCTTTTGACAGTCAGAAATTCTGTCCAAGCTTTTTTTTTTTAATGCCAATTAACAAAATCGAAGTTAATAACGAAACCGACTGTTTGTCAAAGAAAGAACCAGTTTGGTGTGACCATGTAATTTATCCAATGCTAAAGTTGGTCAAGAAAAAGAAAACAAATCTAAATGAATCCAGCGACACCTGTGGGTGAGGAGGACAATTCGAGTGGATGTCATAAATAGTGTCAAGTCGAAAAGGTGATGTTAGGTGAGGTAAATAAAATGTTCCCAAGGAGACTGAACGCTGGCTGTATTTTAGATTTTAAAAGGCAAGTTGATTCATAAGTAGACGTGGTAGAATTCAGATTGTAATGCCTTTCTAGACGACTCCTAAAAAAAAAAAATCATTCTAGACCGGGATCTCTTTTATAACATCTTGGTAGATCATTTGGCCCACGCTGCAGGTGAAACGTGTAGTTTAGTTTTGAAATGTTGTGACACCAATACCCCTTTGATAACTAAAGCCAAGACGATGTGACTTCCAGATGCTTCAATTGCTGCTCAAGCGCCGGCGCCGCCCAAGCATCTGGGCGGTGCGTCGCTCCAACGTGTGGTGGGACCAGATCGTCCCGGGCTTTACGCGCGACGAGTGGGTGCGCCACTTCCGCATGTCTGAAGAGACCTTCCTGGACATTTGCGCCAAGCTGCGGCCGGCCATGGAGAAGCGCGACACCAACTTCCGCGTGTGCGTCCCGCTCAAGAAGCGAGTGGCCATCGCTCTCTGGAAGCTGGCCACCAACAGCGAGTACCGAAGCATCAGCCACCTGTTTGGCGTCAGCAAGACCACGGTGTGCCGCTGCCTGCGCGAATTCTGCTCGGCCGCCTGCGCGCTGCTGCTGCCGCGCCACATTCGCTTTCCCGATCCGGAGACGCTCGCAAGGACGGCGGCCGAGATCGAGGCGAGCTGGGGGCTTCCCCGCTGCGTCGGCGCCATCGAGGGCTCCCACATTCCCATCATAGCGCCTCAGGAGAACCACCGGGATTACATCAACGCCAGAGGCTGGCATTCCATCATCCTGCAAGGCGTGGTGGATGGCAAGGGCCTCTTTTGGAGCACGTGCGCGGGCATGGCCGGGGGGCTGCGCCACACCCGAGCGCTCAGAGAGTCTTCGTTGTGGGAGATGGCAGAGCAAGGGAGGTTCGACCCCAGCTTTTACATCCTGGGGGACTCTGCTTATCCGTTGAAGCCGTGGCTGCTGAAAGCATTCCGGCAAGACGCCACGCTGACGCCAGAGCGCCGCGCGTACAACGAGAGCGTGCGGCGCGCCAGAGCCACCGTACGCGCGGCCTTTTCCCGACTCAAAGGCAGATGGCGCTGTCTGACCAAGAGGAACGACAGCGACATCCAAGTGGTCAAATCCATGGTGTTGACTTGCTGCGCTCTGCATAATATATGCGAGAGGCACTCCGAGGAATACAGGGACCAATGGGACACGCCTGGCCTGTCGGAGATGCAGGATGTAGACGACGAAGAGGATGAGGAGGAGGAGGAAGAAGGCGGGGATGTACGTGACAGTCTCGTGAGATTTTTAACAATGTAGCACTTTGAAAAGAAAAAAAACTTTGTGTTTATTTTGCCTGAATGTCATTTGTACACTTGTACAAATTTCTGAAAAGTTTTCATTAAATACCAAAATAATTTGGTCACCCAAAAAAAAAGGTTGCGGCAAATTAGATGGGGATGCACGTGACGGTCTGGTGAGATTTTTAAGCAATATTGCATTCTGAAATAATTAACCGAGTTGCATCTTAATGTTATCTCAATGTCATTTGGAGTTGGAGGTTTCGAAATTTCTGGAAAGTTTTTGGGAAATACCATGCATCGCGGGCGTGCTTGGAGCCTATGGCAGCTGACTCCGGGCAGTCGTTGGGGCGCACCCTGAACTGGTTGCCAGCTAACGGCAAGCCACACACACAAACAAACAAGCACTCGCGCTCACAATCCCATCTCAGGACATTTTAGAGTGTTCAATTAACCTACCATGCATGTTTTTTTGGAATGTGGGTGGAAACGGGAGAAAAGCTAGGCGGGCACGGGGGAACATGCAAACTCCACACGGGAAGCCCATCAAACCGCTACACTGGAAACATGAACAAGAGGAAACCACTGTCTGAAGAGAATGAATGACATGAAATGAAAAACATGGAACTCATGTATTCCTGACTTGGAATTTCTCATGACTTTTTTTTTTCAGTTTTAACAGTCAGTTTGATGTTTAAAAAAAAGTCGGCGTTTTAAATCATATTGGAGGTGTTGATTTTTTTTTTTTTTTTATTTTACACGTTCCCTTTTCGTAAAAGTTATTTTTGTGAATCATCTTAAGTGTAAATAAAGATATAAAACGACTTTACTCTGACCTGATTTTAACATTGCCAAAAACACAGGCAACAATAAGGCGTGATAAAAAAATAAAAGTATGACGTGAGGCTGCAGACGCCGCAGGTGCCACTGGAGGGCGCTGCTGCACGTATGTTGCCGCAAACTCGGTCAATTGTTGGGAATTTGAGAAATTGGCAATTTTTGGGGAAGGGAGTGCGAGTCAGGTGAATTAAAATCGTTGAAATGGCTCTGATGAAAAATTGACACACCCTCACACGCAGGTTTAAAAGGCTACTGAGTAAATTTGTCGAAGTTCTTGACTTTAATAAGCACGGTGCTTGCAGTGTATTTTCCCAGCCGGCAATGAGCGTTACAACATTATCAAGAAGAGGAGATTAAACGCGATCAGCGTGTCACGGCCGACTCCCAAGTGAAGCAGATGGCCTTTGACGCATGCTGCACGGACGGTAGAATGACACACAGGCGGGCGAACTGTTTCGATATCACCAAAAGCTCACACTCGTGCTCGCCTTCTTGATTTGCGTCGCTTGGGTTCACTCAAAGAAGTCTTTCATTTCTGGGTTGACATGGATGGAGTCATCTTAGACCCCTTTGATACTGTCGCAATTTATTGCTCTCCACTGTATATTTTAAGAACAAATGACAATTTGTCTGAATTCACTGAATCACTTCTTGCATCTCAAATCAGAGGTCCCCAACTTTTTTTGCCCCGCGGAACAGTTTAACATCAGACAATATTTTCAGCGACCGACCTTTAAGGTGTGGTGGATCAATACAACAAAATAATATGATATGACCTGCATGAAAACCGTAGTATTTTCAAAATAAAACATTTTTCAGAGTCCGAAATAAATAAAATGGAAGCAAGTTATTTATTCTTTGTGCGGCCGGTACCAAATGGCCCACGGACCCGTGCCGGTCCGCGGCCCGGGGCTTGGGGACCATTGTCTAAAATCGATGAATGAAAATTAATCATGTACCAAAACTGCTGTACTGAAGATAAACACTGTTGCCGCTTACACGCTCCAGCAATTCATTCTATGGCGCTACAACGGAGGAGAATACTACAACTCGAGTTCACTTTGTACTACTCTCAAAAATCAGTGCCGCCATCTGAAAAGCAAACACTCATTTAGTGTCTGAGTGCCCCAGTGAGCTGTTCGAAAAAGCAGACGATAAGAAAGAAGCTTTTGTATGAAAGGCGCTAGATGCGCGCCGCATGTTGGCAAACACGAGGCTACGCTTCCTTGGCGCACTTTTCCGAGAAACGCGGATGGACGCGGCCATCCGTCATAGTCCCCCGCGTGATCTGATTTTTACATAAACGTCGGCATGAGATTAAGGCTGCGAGGAAGGAGGCGAGCGCCGGGCCTCGCAGTCGCGGGGATTAACCGAGCGACAAGACTTTGAGGGCCGCCGCGGCTCGTGGCGGTCCGCTTTCCAATTTTGTGACACTTCTCCGAAGAGATGCGATACAGGATTAGCCGGACACACTTAGCTCGCCTTCTGTGCTGAGAAGAAAATGTTGATAGCAGATGAAGCGGCTTGGGGATTAGCGCAAGAGTCAGCAGTCAAATGCTGCTCATTAAAAAAAAAAAAAACACATCAAGCAAAAAATCTTGAGGGAATAAAAACTACCAAATTTTGGCCTTTGTATCTAAGACAAACAAAAAAAGGGCAGGCCAATCTTGTACTCGCACTCTTACTAGCAAGCCACGTGGTTGTTAACACCTGCAGAATGTGGCTTGACATGTTGTATACGTTTAGTTGCTCCATGTACAGCACTTTGTGTGCAGCGACGGCTGTTTAAAAGTGCTCTATAAATACATTTGAGTTGAGAAATGTAGCGAAACGTGCCTGAAAAAGGGGGGCGGGATTAGATCAGATTTTGATGAAAAAAAATAAAATACCCATGAAGCTTCAAAATGCATTGAAACTGCAGTCAGTTATAAAATCAATAGTTTCATGAGAGCATAAATCACCCATTTACTTTTGATTAAAAAAAAAACTAATTAGATGATCCTAATTTGAGTGAGATTAGCATGATCAGAATATTGCCACTTTTTCTAGGTCATCTTGAATTATTTTATGAATCCTTGCCATCATGCGTAGCGCTGCTTAATTGTGCACCAAACAAGGAGCCGCTTGTCTTTTTTGGTTTTATAACGTCTGCCACAGCAGTTCACTTGTAGCGCTTTGCCTTTTTGGATGAAAACACTAAACACACCATAAAAAAACTTTTTGAACAATTTGTTTATTTATTTATTTATTTGTTTGTTTATTTATTTATTTTTTTTTTATGAAACAAGTATTTTCCCCGCCGCAAAAGCCAAGTTTCTCCACAGTGTACAAATGTGGATTGTTGACCAAATGGAATTCAACTGCCACCAGGAATCAAACAAATAACTTAACTCTGCCAATATAGAGAACTATACATACGTAGAAAATAGATTTTGCAGAGAAAATGCATAATATTGATTCAACCTGGATGATGTTTCCAAACAAATGATAAGCCCCCCCCCCCCCCGCGCCAAGATAAGTCTCTTTGGCATTGAGTTCAAAGTGCTAAAACAGATAAGAAAAAAAAAATAAAAAATAGGGCTGTACGTGTAACGCAACGTTAAATGGGCTCGCATTTGATCGTCATCCCCGGGAGTCGTCTTTTGTGCGCACGCAACTCAACCTCGGGGGGGTTGGAAACAGGACCGCATTCGTCAACAAAAGTGAAAAGGCTCAAACGTGAGGCACAGGAGGACTCACCTTGACCGGCCAAGGACCGCTCTGCTGGACGAGGACGAGTGACATGCCGGGAAGCCGGCATGATTTCTGCTCGCTCAGAATGCGACATGAACATTTTTAGTATGATTTGAAATCTACGTTAGCAACACCGTTGGGTGTCAAACTTGACCGGCCAACGACTTCTAATTGAGAGACCAGGACGGTGCCGCCTTCAAGTTACGTTGAACAGCTACTTGATTCTATTTTAAAATTTAAATGGCGACAGTTCCTCCAACCTCCAATTGTTCTCACGCCGATTGATTAGACTGGCCATTGACCGCCAATCAATCAGATTGACTCAAAATGTGTCTGTTAAATTTTAGTTTAACTTTACCTGACGTCGTGTCCCGCGATCCTTCCATGTTGATGAACTCGACCGGCCAATGGCTTCCGATGGCTGAGAATGATTGACACGTACAGGAACGGCGCACGAATGCTAAATGAGTGCCGCGTGGAAAGAAAGGTGACGCGCCGCGCCGACACTTTGTTGAGCCCGGATGGCTTCCCCCCATGGGCCAACTTGCGGCGCGTGCACCAGAGCGGTCGGCGACTTGCGAGCGAGGTGACGTTTTGTCCCATCGTGACCTGGGCGGATCCTTGGCCGTGACCGTCACAAAAGTTCTTCAATTAAAAAAAAAAAAAAAAAAAAGAAAAGAAAAAAAGTCTTCTAAAACAACATAAAAAGTCGTCTCTTTCAAGTAGGAAAAGTCTGGCATGTAACAGCATCGTTTCAAGCGACTTGGTTCGCAGTCTTAAGAGACGGAAGGGAAAGAAAAAAAAAAGTCTCGATCCCAAAGGCAAGAGGATGAAAGGGGGTGGGGGGGAGGGGGGCAATGTGGGCTCACTCCTCGTCCGAGCTGCTGTCGATGTCCAGAGAGTAAAGCATGAAGACCAAGTCGGGCCGGGCCGGAACCGAGGGGTCTCCCGGCTTCAACATCTCAAAGCCGATGTAGTTGAAGGTCTTGATGATGGACACTAGTGGGGGAGGGGGCGGGGGGACAAAAACACCTTGAGTGGGTTACATCCAGCATGGTAAAAGCAGTAAAAAAAATGCAACAAGAGAGGCCACATCGGAATTCACAAAGCGCGCGCAGATGGCGAAACGCTTCACTCGCTACGCTGCCAAGCAGATTGTGCCTTCTGTGGTTTGAAATCCGGAACGCGTCCAACGGTCCGGCAGAAAACGAGCAAATCGATCCTGTTGGGTCAGTCCCCACGGGGGGCTGCCACAGGCCGTTGCTTTTCAAGTCGCGATAAGTCGACTTATTGGAATCGATTCAAATCGCGGCATCATCGCAGCAGAAAGTAGCTCCAGTGAAACAACCGGCATTGTTAGGTTGAAGGTCCTTAACTCATTCACTCCCAAAGACGTTTTTAAACGTCTTTTCAGACTTGGTCTAGATAGAATTGGCTGGTCCTGAATGAGTTAATTAGCGAAAGAGTACTTGCGCTGACAGTACATTGATTCAACGGTTGCCGTTTGCATTCCTGACACGTTTCCAAATGAAGCACAATTGAGAGCGTCGGGATGTGCGCGAGGGTTCACGGGCAGCTTTGAATTGCCGATTTGTACGCAATCGGCCGGTTTGGCGACAGACGCGCTACGAGAAGAAGAAGAGGAGGAGGAGGAGGAGGAAGGGCAAATCTTACGTCGGTCCTCTCGGCCTTTGCAGAACCAAAGGACGACAGAGTTCACCTTCAGCTTATCCTCGGCAAACTCCAGCAGAGCGGTAAGCCTGAGGAGGTCAACACACAGAAACACACACAGACACGGTCAGTGGACGATGCGGAGGGGGAGGGTGTCGGGGGAGGGGGGGGGGCTGATGACGCAGTCTTCCTTTTACATAAGGAGCCGCTCGCCCTTTACATAATATTGCGGTGCTAAGTGGGGCAGGCGGCGACGGTCTGATTGGCCGGCGGCTTCTGCGGATGTGCGCGCGCTCACGACATCTGTGGCTCTCAAACTTTTTTGATCAAGTGTTACCCCCCAAAAAAAGGCAACTAAAATCCTGGGATCTTCAGGTAGCAACATAATGAACAACATTACAATACAGTAGCTCGTAGGCCTCAGTGGTGATTTAAAAAAAGGAACGGCGTGATTCTGTAAAAAGGTGTCTTGAACATTCGCGGGCAACACGGAAATCTGATCAAGTTTGAACATTGCCGCTGTGCTTCAATCCAGAAAAGCCAAAACGGCCCTCGAACGGTGATTCAATACAAACGTATTGCGCGCCGGTTCCATCTCAAACGCAAAAGATTGAACGGAAATGTACTGAAGTTAAAACCACAGTCCTGTGTCAGCGGGTGGGGGGTGGGGGCACTGTATCGGATTAATAAAAAGTTCAAAGCCACGGTAACAAAATGAGTTCAAACCGATTCAGCTTGCGGGAGCCCGTGTACCGCACTTGAGAACGACGGCGTCACGTCGTGACGGGACGCAATAGGTGTGCGTTCGTTCGTTCGTTCGGGACCTCCCGATGTTCAGGCGACGCGTCACGAAAAAGTTGAGAGCGCGAGTATCCGAGCGAGGCTCACCCCTCTTTGCTTCCCTCCGCCAGCGGCCCCGTCGGCATCTCCAGGAAGAGGCTGCCTTCCCACACGGTCGTGTCCCAGAAGGCCGAGCGGCGTTCGCTCAGCTGGTAGTGGAAGCGCAGCAGTGAGGCGTTCCCGTTCACGTCCGTCGACTGCATCACCGTCAACTTGTCACCCTGGGGGGCGCAAGCGCGGCAACGTCAACGATGCGCATGTACACACACACACACACACACACAAACGCCGCGGCTTGACGGGCGTCGACCAGAACCGCGCCCGTCGCCAAACCTCCCCGCACGTGATGCCCGTTTTTGGTTAGCGGTTTTTAGCCTCGGCGCTATTTGAGCGAGACGTTTGTTCGTAACTTGTCATCTATTGCCGCTGTTGCCCAAACAAGTTGCCGTGTTTGCAGTCACAGTTCCCCCCCCCCCCCCCCCCCACACTTTCTCAAACAAACTGCTGTTCAAACATGAATTTTCCCTTCGGCGATGGCAAAATGATTTGCCTTCAGGTGACAATGCACCAAGATGTCGAGTGGCGCATTTGCGGCTCGGGACGCTCACATTTCGACGTGCAAATTCACTCGTGTGGCAGATTATCAACTTGGAACACTCAAAGGTCTCTTCCCAAGTACAGTTCTGTTGTCTTTAACTTGTCCCGTCAACCCGTTTGCAGTCAATCTTAAGAACCGGTTTGTTTTTCGAACATTTATTTGGGTCCATCTCGATTGAGCTTTTATTTGCAAAAGCTTGACAACAACCGGTCGAGGGCATTGCTTTGTGTGCGCCCGCGCTGCCGTTTTTGTTCGTCGCAGCCTTCGCGTGGGGGCACAGCAGGAAGAAGAGTCAGTGCGCATCTCGGGTTATTTTGAAAAACTTGCAAATTCAACTTCCCCTGAAGGCGGGATCATCCAATGGCGTCTTTTTTTTTTTTTTTTTTTTTTGATGGGGATTTACAAGTTGATGGCCGACTTTCATGTCTGACGAAGCCAATCAGCGCCACGGGGAGGACGATGAATCCGTTTCTCTGTCTGATCCCGCTATCGCGAATCCCCGGGCGCTGTCACGCGGTACGACGAGGCACGCGCGTTAACACACAGCAAAATTGCTCAAATTTAGCTTGAATGATTCAATGGCAATGACTCAACTGAGGCACAAAGTTGGAGCCTATCCCAGCCGTCTACGGGCAAGTAGGCGGGGGGGGACACCCTGAACCGGTTGCCAGCCAATCGCAGGGCACACAGAGACGAACAACCATCCGCGCTCACACTCACACCGAGGGACAATTTCAAGCGTTCCATGAATCTGTCAGGCATGTTTTTGGAATGTGGGAGGAACCCGGAGTAACGTTCAATTCGATGAAACCAGCGGACGCTTTGAATTCAACCCGCTCACCTTGTGTAGCAGCGCGCCGAGAGAGTGATCCCTGACCGTCCCTCGCCCACCCGGGATCTTCAGATGTGGGTGAGGGGCATCAGGAGCACCACTGAGGCCCCGGGGGCGGAGGAAGGGAGCCCGGCAGCCGCGAGCCCGCTAACCAGGAACTGCACAGACACACGCCGGGAGACGCCGGTGAGTCAACATCTTGTTTTTTTTTGTTTTTTTTTCCCCGGTGGCGGGGGTGTGCGGAAGGGGGGGGGGGGGGGTGGGGGGAAGGGGGGGGGGCAGTGGCGGCATGCTGAAGAGGAGCAACATTATTCCATGAAGACGAATGAAAAAAAAAAACTCGCAAAAAACAATGACAAGAAAATGTCCAAGTTGTGATTTTGACTCGAGGGCAAATGCGGTCTGGCGGGCCAAAGTGGCAAGAGTGGGGGGGCGGGGGGGGTTGTCTTCTTGTGCTGCACTGCAAGTGTCATATTCAACCCTTTTTTTTTTTTATTTTTAGGAAGACCACGCACTACCCAAAATCGGGGGGGGGGGCGGTACATTTTTGATGGGGGGGGGGCAAATGAATGCTGCCCCGAAGAAATGACTTCAACACCAACTCTGATCCCAAAAGGGTTTCTCAGTTTTTACGTTACTGTCGATTAATCTATGAATCGGAAAACACGTTTCCATTTCCGTCCCTTTGTTGAAAAACGCGACATCATTTCAAACGGACAGTGAACAAAAAAAACATGAGTCGGCAACGGCGGCGGCGTGACCCATTTGGTTCCGTAACGTGTCAGAAAAGAGACAAACGTGCAAGCAATCGGCGAAATAAACGTCATCCGTCCGCTGGCTAGGATGGCGGTGAAGATTCCGAGCATTTGGACAATTGTAAATTACGAGGGGTGGCCAAACGATACAGCGATGCTCAAACAGAATGATGAATTTGAGAAAGCGGTGAGTTGTCAATTGCTGAATTGATGGCGGCACCTTCCAAACAAACGGCTTGCCGATGGATCATTTGGGATGTGTCGAGAATCTCCGTTGCAACCCAGGCTAAACTTGGCTCCTCCATGACAGCGAAGGCGCATCATTTCAACAGATTTCCGGACTTTGGTGGCATTTGAAGGGCTTTGGGGAAAGCGCCGCGTTGCCAAAAGACCCATTTTGTTGTCAACACAAAGCCAGAAAATAAAAAAAAAAAAAAAATTAAAAAAAGACAAACTTTGGGCTGAACGTGAATTCAGGTCAAGTCTCGTCCATTTTTGCAGAGCACCCGCGCGTGAACAATGACATCAGGTCGTCGCCGTGAGGCGAATCATCTCCGCCGAGCACGTGACGGGGACGACGCCTCTGCAAATAGCCCGTCGGACTTTTTGGCGACACGCCGCTCGAATTGCCGCGGCGTTGAGTAGACGCCAGATCGCCGCGTTGGGGGGCCAACTGGCTCTGCCGTGTGCGCAAGGTCCCGAAACGCGAGGGCGTCAAACAGCTGCCTCACCGACTTGTTTGCCAAATCATATTTACACGGAAATCGTGTGCACCGCACACAACATTTGTTTTTTTTTCTGCCACGTTGCTCCCCCCTGCTGACTCGACTGCTCAACCGTGACGATTTCGGAGGATTGCGCCAGCGATGGCGAGCAAAAGTGCTCACTTGGAAACCTTTGCTAGGTCGATTTAAACCTCAACCTTGTTTTGGATGAACACCTGGGCCTACTACGCGATTGTATTTTGAAATTTCGGTGAGGCTGCTGGTCCTCGGGAGAGCCGGTGGAACTCGGAACAAGACGACTTGAGGACGCCGCTTTTCATTCGCTCTCTGACGAGATGGAAACGGCGCAAATGGCGATCGGCGTTGATGTCGAAGCTCGACGGACGAACTAATCAGATAAGAATCGCGGGGAGGAGAGAGACGGGCAGGACACAGATGGAGGAAGCGATAAAGACGAAGCCTGCCAACAAGCGCTGCTTGTTTTGTTTTTTTCCACTCCCTTCGCCTGATGTGAGTGCCAGCTTGTTGTGAAAGGCAACACGTTGACATTTAAAGCAGCCTCGCCATCTCTCGCCCCCCCCCCGTGAATAGCTGACGAGGTCATCCTAAAAACAGAATATAGGCGATGTTTTGAAGAAGCTCAAACAAAACACGCGACGGGCACTTTCTTGTGAAAAGACATTTCGCGATGGTGGGAAGTGCGACGGGCGTGCAGATGTGACGGCGGGACGCGGCCCTTCCTGGCGTCGCTTGGACGACAATCAGATGAGTTGCTTTCCAAAAAAAAAAAACAAAAAAAAAACAAACGGAGATGAAGTGGAGGTGTTTGGAGGACAGCCAAGAGACACACGGGAACAAAACATCCCCAAGAGAAGACCGGAAAACATCCGAACAGCACAATGGACGGCTTGGAAACAACTCGGGTGTTTCAAAGGAGGCAAATGAAAGCTGCGGCGAAAGGGGGAGTGGGGGGGGTGCCGTCTCTGATGCGGTTTGCCGTCCGGGGAGGCTCATTCAAGCATCTATTCGGGACAACGGGACATTTTTGTTGCACGCCACATTTGCACCGGGGTGAACGCCGTTCTCAGCTTGACGAAAGCGCTTGGCTTGAAGCAACGTCAAGGTCAGCCACTCAAACATCAACTGTCAATGTTTGGGGGACATTTCTCCCGTTGTGACCCCACACGGTCTTATTTCTTCGCTCGGCAGAGCCGTTGAGGGCAGGGGGGGGCGAGGCTTCCGATGCAAAGCGCCCCAAGTGGAGCTTTACAAGTTGGCGGCGCGAGTCAGCCAAGGCCGTCAAAGCGAGGCTAAAAGTAGAAGGTTGGCCCCGCCCCCAAAGCGCAGGTTCTGCCGTTCAGCTGACTTGGTTCTCGCTTTCAGTCTCGACGAAATCAAAACAGTCAACGCAAAGCGGGCGTCACATCACAGGGTGTGCCGCCAATCCGTGCGGGGGAGTTCAGCGCTCAAATATTCAGCTGGTATGAGGAAACCGCATGAGAAACAAACAAAACAAAACAAAAAAGCTGAGCACGTGGCTGGAGAACTGACGATTGTGCCAACACATGAAACCGTTCATGAAACTCTTTGATGAAGCGCAAGAATCCCATTGAAGAATCATACGGCATTTTTGTCGCAAGTGTGGAAGAGGGGCTCACCTAGCCCGTCTGCCAATTGCGGCTTTGCAACCCAACATCCTGGCTCACGGATCCTCCGTAAGTTGTGGATCAGCACGGCTTTCGAGTCGACGATCAAGATTAGGCAATGAATCAGAGCTCGCCACATCAAATGTAAAAACGGACCGCTAATTGCTTCGTAACCTGCGGGTAACTCTCCCTCTTCCAAGGCTAACAGCTTAACTCCATACAAATAAATCCATCAATAAATCTCCACAGATTTGCACTTGACAATTGTCCTTCTGGCCTGCAAAAGTCGGATACCCGCCAATTGGCGGAAAATTTTCATCCGTGCAATGAAGAGGGAAAAGAAAAACAAATGTCAACAGGTCGGACAAGTTTCGTCACCACCCGCCGCTGAAGCAGGGCATTTATTGGTGCGGATGGTATATCGAGTTGCGTGTCAAAATGCTTTGAAATGGCTGAGCCTGTGGGCAAATCTGCTTTGAAAACGGCTGCCAGCGAATGCGTTCCACGCCATCTGTGTAGATGCCGACAAAAATTACAAGTGCCCGCAGAGCGACAACGCTCACGTCCGCATCGATCGGCCTTGTTGGCATCAAGCTAAAAAGCACTTAGCGTGAACGCGGCCTCAAGCGGACACATCGGGGGGCGTGACGCGTCCGCCGCCGGCCGCCTCGAAGCCCGACTGAAATCTCGCCACCTCGCAGACTCCAAAAGCGATTCATCTTCAGATCAAGTCCCCGAAATGCGGAGCGCCGTGATGCCACCGCAGTGAAAGCGCAGCACTGATTAATAACTAACACTTATTCAACCGTCTAATTACACTGGCACGTAACACCTCGACTTGAAAAGCCCAAGGGGACGGCATCGTTGCCAAGTCTAAAAATACAACCCATTATCTATTCTATCCAACCAGCCATGACGCTAAAGCTAAATCGAAAACAAACGGACTTTCCCAAACTGCTTAACTTCGTCTCAAGAAAGTCTGCCCGCTCCGTGCTAACAAAAGAAGGCCAAGTACCAAAGGCGGGCTAACAAAACCGGCATTCATCTTGTGGAAGTTCGACGTTAACCCAGAAACAGCCGATATCAAAACTGAAACGGTAAAGCGACAATTGCAAACGGAGCGCACAAGTTCATCTTGTGATACGAGTGACCCGACTTGGCGAGCGCAAACTTGAGATGTGGCGGTTGGCCTCGCGCCCAAAAAACGAGCAGGTTGGCAGATTAGTCGTCACGATAGAAAGACCAAAAGCAAAATGGCTGCCAAAAAAAAACCAAGACCAACACTGGATATCACCATATTAGAAATCGGACTCAGTTAAGAGCAACAACAGTTCTGTTGCAACAAGGCATTGGCCAATTATCGATTTGAGGATTTACCGTTGTTTTAAATAGGCAAAGCTTTCAAGAACCAACTAAAACTCACTGCTCTTTTTTGGAAGGGACTTCTAAACAGGGCAAAAGATGCTGCCTCTCAAGCCATTGTCTCCAATAATTAAATAAACCAAAATAAATCGAAAAAATCCCTTCTCTGCCAGCAAGGAGGAGGCGGGAGGGAACAAGACCAAAACAAAACCAAAAAAAAAAAAAACATTTTTTGGGCCCCGTTGATTAATGTCCATTGTCCAAAAAAAATTCAACCACAAAACGCTCCCAGCAGGTACTAGTTAGCCCCCCCCATAAAAACATGAGTAGCCCATGGGTCTGTTCTAAAAATACATGAGCGACTTTAAAACAGACCAACAATGACGGGAAACGGTGACTTACTGGAAGAATTAAAACAGAAGAATGTTAATATTTATTTCAACTTAACATGGTGCAAATTTCTTCGGGAGCAAATACTCTACATTGCTTGAAAATCGATTATGTTCAATGAGAGGGGGGGGAGCCTTTTTTTTATTTTATTTTTTTTATTAAAATATTTCAAAAAATTGTAAAGATGTACCCGTGGTTCAACAGCCGCAAATTTTCATGTTGACGGCGGTGGTTGTTTGAAATTGCTCTCTGAATACAGTCGAGTACAAAAACAATTTTTGTCACGCATCTGCACTTTGAGGAATTACTTTGAACAACTTTAGCATTGCAAAGTTTGATTTAAAAAAAAAATACATTGTTTTGTTTTTCAGACAATGGCTTCAAGACATGTGAGGATTTTGCTCGACAGCAACAATGATGTAACAGATTCGAAGGAGCAAGATTTTCCCCAGGCGTGGCCTCATTTCCAGAGAATGTTTTGTTAACGTTGTCGGCGACAAGGACGATTCGTGCTAGTTTCTTCGCAGTATCAAAACTTGCTAAGACATGGAAAATATTTAGTGGGAAGCGTTTTTTTTGTTGTTGTTATCATCCAAAAGGGGTATTTTACTTTGAGATAAAATAAATAAATATGTTTGGACACAACTACATTTCTGAGTGTGTCCTCAGTACTTCCACAGCATCTTTCTAGTCCAGTGTGATGAATACTCCCGACTAATTCCGTTTAGTGGCGTTGCATTGGAATTGCAAATTGGGTGGGTTGACTTATTCGCCATGTTTTGTCAAGGCCAGATGTCATCACTGCAAAACATCATACCATCAAAGAGTCGTATCGTCAAAAATGTCGATGTGCTGCAAAAAGACTGTCGAGTATTATAACATACAAGTGGGTCTGTGACGGACAATATTTTTTTTAAAGGGACATGATGGAACATTCCAGGTGTTCAACGTGTTGAGGAAGTAGCGACAAATGGCTAAAGAAAAAAAAAAACATACACCGCACGCGTGTCGTCAGTCTTGTTTTGTTTTAATTTATTTTTAATAATTGCCTTTCTATGACCATCGAGAACTTGACACAAAGTTTTGTCTCGGAATGGGGAAGGAAAAACTTTTGCAAAAAAAAAAAAAGTGCTGACAAGATTACGAGTCACTTCCTACCTTTCGTCCGCGTTCAACATGACAGCTTCGACGACAGCCTCTTACGGTTCTTGTTTTAAAAGGGAAGAAAGTCTTTTAGTTGGAGCAAAAGGGTTAGGCATAAAAATTCGGCTCCCAGTGAGTCGAATGCGAAGGTCCAAAGATGTGTTGCCGTGTGCTTCGGGGTTGTTGTGAACGGGACGTACGGAAACAACATCACTTGGCAGCCGCCAACAGACTACTAGAGAAAGCAGTGGCTGCATTTATATGGAGGAGCCTCCGCGGTGCATTGTGGGTGACTCCGCCCACGAGTCCCGATCACGCTATGAAAACAAAGGGCTCAAAACTTCAAAATCCACTTTTTTTTTACTTTGTATAATTAAATATGATTGTTTTATTCTTTATTTATTAAGATGATCGATCAATTAAAAGGGTAACTCTCTAGGTGAAGGCAAACTTTCGTCCTGAAGGACCGAATTGGATTATTATTACAGTATTTTATTCTTTTGTGTCGGCATAATGATTTATTCTCGTAATAAAAATTTTAAAAGATTCTCATTTTTCATAGGAACTTTCGTCCTGAAGGACCGAATTGGATTATTATTTTATTATACAGTATTTTATTCTTTTGTGTCGGCATAATGGTTTATTCTCGTAATAAAAAATTTAAAAGATTCTCATTTTTCATAGAATTATTTATAATTCAGGTGATCGTACAGGTAATTAACAAACCACAGCCTTTAATACAATAAAAATTGAAATAATATTTCAGTTGTTCGTATTTTGTGTTATAGTAATGATAACAAAAATAATAATACATGTACAAATCTTTGAATAATAATAAAAACAATAAAACACACTGTATTGATAGCAATGATTCTTGTCATATTAGTACATCATTTGTCCTTTTATTGTATTTTTTTAACGGAAAATAATGTCTCACTTATTTGATGAAATAATTACGTCAACAAAATAGCTCACGTGTTAAAGAACATTTGTAATTCAAAGTAACAAAATAATTCATCCTCATTTTGATTGCATCCTTCACAATTAATGTCATTTGAATCAAGCAATTCTATAGTAAAATGCAAAAGTTGATGAAAAATACACCCACACCCACATATATATA